CACACACACACACACACACACACACACACACATATATATATATCGATCAGGCGATCACACTGAGACGATCATATCATTATTCAATAATAAAAATACGACCGACACGATCATAGTTAGTTCATGATGTATGATGTGATACATACGGTATATATGACGTGCAGGACATCGATGGATTGTTGTCCAACTTAAGCTACATACCATCAACACTATCGATAACGGAGTCGAGCTACGTCGATTTCTTGGAAAGGGTTTACAGTGCAGAGCTGTTCTTGGATAGCATAGGGCTGTGGCAAGGAGGAGATGTGGCACACCCATGGCAGAACCTCCTCATGCCTAAGAAGGATATCCACACTTTTGCATCTCAAGCTTTTTACAATCTCATCACGGATTCAAGCTTGGGACCTATCATTGTCTACCCATTGAACAAGTCAAAGTAATAACTACATATTCTACACACTCACAAAATATATAGTGAAATTTGCAGACTAAAACATAAATCATTTCTTAATGTAGGACTTAAACTTTTTTATTCCCTAAATAGGACTTAATAATGACTAGTGAGAAGAATAATGTCCAAGTGATGCTGGACATTTAGTTGAATAATGACTAATAGATAATGACTAATGGTCCTACATTGGAAAATAAAAACATATGGTCCTATATTAGGAAAGTCATTATGTTTTAGTCCTATTTAGATAAATTACCCAAATATATATGCTACTATATATATTCCCTCCATTCTATAAAAACTTATCTTCCATCCCTGAAAAGCTTTCTCCTATCTTTTTTTCATCTGTTCCAAAAAAACTTTTTTCATTTATATTAAAAAGTTACTTTTACCCATACTAATTTTTAACCTACCCATTACATCACAACTATTCAAAATTAATCTACTCATCAAATCCTATTTTTACATATTAAATCCAATGACTTTTTTGAAAATTCAACACCAAAATACATTTTCCTTAAATAACCTAAAAATCAAAATCTTCCATGTTTTCAAGGACGGATGGAGTATGTAACTTTTACAAATGTTTAAGAAAAGTATTGTAAAGTCAAACCTTTATGATTACATTTTTTACATAAAGAGAAGCGTTGTGAGTCATTCATTATTGTTTTTTTTTTAAAAAAACTTTTCTTATTTTTTTGAGACGGATACAAAAAGAAATAGTAAAGTTTTTACAAGACTTATTTACCCATATTAATAATTAACCTACTTTTTACATTATTTCAAGAGGGAGAGAGTATATATAATTAAGAAAGTGCATTATTACACTCCCTCCATCCCAAATTAAGTTGCATGTTTATTATTCACAAAATCAAATTTTATTTAATTTACTTTCTTTTTCTATTTTCGTTAGTCATTTAATAAAATAATATAATCATGCCACCACTAGTTTTGTAGATCTTTTAATCTAGTTTTTAAATATGTAATGTTTATTTTTTAGTTTTACACCATTTTTTATATAAAGTGATTTGAAAATAATTTCGATTAAGCATTATAAACTGAAACAGACGATTTAAATCGGGGACACTACTTGTACAACCAACAAATTAAATAAATTACTTGTACATATTTCAGGTGGGACAACAGAACATCAGTGGTTCTGCCGGAAGGAGACGACGAGATCTTCTACGCCGTCTCCATCCTTCCACGAGCAAACATCTCCTCCAACGGAACCGACGGCCTGCAAAACATGCTGAACCAGAGGAAGAAGATCTCCGACTTCTGCGAGTCCGCCTCCATCGGAGCCAAGCAGTACCTGCCGTACTACGAGACCCCGGCGGAGTGGCAGACCAAGCAGTACGGCCCCCAGCGTTGGAAAGTCCTCGCGCAGAGGAAGGAAACCTACGACCCTTCCTGTGTTCTTGCTCCCGGACAGAACATTTTCACCACCGCCAATTGCCCCGGCGCCGGCGCCGGCGGGTTTAACTAACTAGTAACTCAAACAAATACGTATACCTACTACTCTTTGTAATAATACTACGTCGTACGTACATACTGCTGAAATACGTACGTGGAATATATGTGTGTGTGTGTGGCTCTCTCTCTATTACTACGTTATATATATACAGGTAATGATGATATATATACTCTGCATGCATGCTAGAGAATATATACTAACCCCTATTTAATGCAATGGGGGATATATAAATAAAGAAACAAGTTGCAATTCCGCCCTGTTTACTTTTATTTTATCTTAAACTCTCGTTAAAAAAAGGCTAAATTTATAAATTGTTGAGTTGGTACTTCAAGTCATTGCGTTATGCTTTGGTTATCTTGTACTTTCGAAAATTTTATAAATAGTATTTCAGGATTTTCAATTCGAAATCTTCCGTTGGATCTAATGTTCATGCTCGTTTTATGAACCTTAGTGAACTAGTGCATTTGTAATATTAAAGAAGTGAGCCTATTGCAAAAAAGAAAATATTTACATGCAAGCTCATACAACAACAACCCAGTTGGATCCCACTACAGTAGGGTCTGGGGAGGGTGTGTGTACGCAGACCTTGCCCCTATTTGGAAGCAGGGAGGTTGTTTCCAAGAGACCCCCGGCTCAACCTGCACAAAAAATATAATAGGGTATACAGTATAGCATGGATAAAACACCAAGTACAATGAAAAGAAAGTTCTACAAGCATTAATAGAAGATTCCAAACAAACACAACACACTACAAAAAACCTCTATAGCACCGAGTTCCTAACCAACTACTCTAATCCTAGTTCTCCAAAGGTTCCTATCTAAAGCCATATCCTCAGTCAGGGTGAGAAGTCCTAAATCCTGTCTAATCACTTCCTTCCAATTCTTCTTAGGTCTACCCCTTCCCCTACTTCCCCCAAAAACCGTAATCCGCTCGCATCTCCGTACAGGGGCGTCAGCATCCCGCCGTCTCACATGACCAAACCATCTCAACCTCGCTTCCCGCAATTTATCTTCCACCGGCGCCATGCCTACCTGACGTCGGATAACTTCGTTCGAAATCCTATCCAACCTTGTCTTCCCACACATCCATCGTAACATCCGCATCTCCGCCGCATGCAGACGACGCACCTGAGTCTTCTTAACCGCCCAACACTCTGCCCCATATAACATAGCAGGTCTGACTACGGATCGGTAGAACTTGCCTTTCATCCTGGGCGAAATCTTCGGGTCACACAATACCCCTGAAGCCAACCGCCNCCGCATCTCCGCCGCATGCAGACGACGCACATGAGTCTTCTTAACCGCCCAACACTCTGCCCCATATAACATAGCAGGTCTGACTACGGATCGGTAGAACTTGCCTTTCATCCTGGGCGAAATCTTCGGGTCACACAATACCCCTGAAGCCAACCGCCATTTGGCCCAAGCCACTCCAACACGATGTCCAACATCCCCGTCTAACTCCCCATTAGCCTGGATTACCGAGCCAAGATATCGAAACCTGTCTACCTTAGGTACTAGGTGAGAGTCAATCCTAACTTCCACCTCTGATTCTGTTTCTCTGCCGCTGAAACGACACTCCATGTATTCAGTCTTGTTCCTACTTATTCTGAACCCTTTAGTCTCAAGGGCAAGGCGACATTGTTCCAACTTATCGTTTAGTCCCTCACGTGTATCGTCGATAAGCACAATGTCATCCGCGAAAAGCATGCACCATGGGACCCCTTCTTGCACACCTTGAGTTAGGACGTCCATCACCAAGGCGAACAAAAAAGGGCTAAGGGCAGACCCCTGGTGCAACCCCATCCCTACCGAGAATGACTCAGAGTCGCCCCGAAGGTCCTTACCCTAGTCATAGCCCCATCGTACATATCCTTGATCGCGCGAGTGTACGCGATGGGAACTCCTCTCGTCTCAAGGCACCTCCATAAGACCTCCCTTGGCACCCTATCATTCGCCTTCTCGAGATCAATGAACACCGTATGAAGGTCCTTCTTCCTAGCCCTATATTCTTCCATTAACCTCCTCACGAGGTGAATGGCCTCTGTAGTTGATCTGCCAGGCATGAAACCAAACTGGTTCTCAGAGATGCATACCCCTTTCCGCACCCTATACTCAATGACTCGCTCCCAAACCTTCATGGTGTGGCTAGGCAGTTTGATGCCTCTGAAATTCTCGCAGCTCTGGATGTCACCTTTGCCTTTAAACAGGGGGACCAAGAGACTCTCCCTCCACTCATCTGGCATCCTTGCTGTCCGGAAGATAACATTGAAGAGTTTGGTTAACCAAACCCACGCACCGCGACCCGCATGTTTCCAGAACTCCACCGGAATCTCATCTGGTCCCAAAGCTCTCCCACTATGCATCCCGCGGAGAGCCCGAACCACCTCTTCCAGGCAAATGCGCCGGCAATATACACGAGACGCCCTGGATTGCCCCAGCTCATCAAGAACTAGCCTCTGCTCTCCTCCCGCATTTAAGAGTTCACAAAAGTACTCCCCCCAGCGCTTAGCCACCTTGGCAGTCTCAACTAACACTCTACCATCACTGTTCTTCACGCAACGCACGTGGTCTAGATCTTGGGCCTTCCTCTCACGCACTTTAGCAAGCCGGAACAGTGTATTAACACCGCCTTTCCCCTCAATATCCTTGTAGAGGCGTTCAAAAGCGGCATTCTTTGCCCTTGTAACCTCTAACTTAGCTTCTTTACGTGCCTTCTTGTACTCCACTCGTAACGCCGCTCTTTCTTCCTCAACATTGCAGCCCATGTACCTCACATATGCCACCTTCTTAGCTTCCACCTTACTCTGGACTGAATCGCTCCACCACCAATCACCCTGCCGCCTACTCCCTGAGCCAGAGCTCACACCAAGCACTTCCCTGGCAGCTTCCCTGATGCAGTTAGCAGTCTGCGTCCACATATCAGCAGCCTCTCCGGCCGATTCCCACGCCCCTTTCTCCTGCACTCGCCTGATCAACTCAGAGATATTCTCCCCACTTAGTCTCCTCCACCGGATGTGTGCGTT